CTGAGCTGAAGTTGGATGCTTAACCGACTGAGCTACCCAGGTGCACTTTTAGGTGTTCGGCTCAGGGGCATGGGGCTCGTTCACCAGCGAAACCACCACGGCCGTCCGTCCCCAGGACTTCTCCACCTTCCCAAACGGAAGCGCTGTCCCCGTGAAGCACGGGCCCCCGCCCAGCGTCCCTTCTGTGTCTCTACGACTGTGGCTGGGCCACGTCCCTCCTCTGAGCGGGATCACGCAGTACTTGTCCTCTGTGGCGGCTCACTTCACTCAGTGTCGCGTCCTGCAGGGGCACCCGTGCTGTCGCAGCAGGTGTCAGAACGTTCTCCCTTTATGAGGCCGAATGACCCCCCCCCCCCCCCCCCCCCCGCCCACTGTGTGGAGGAGCCACATTGTTCTTGTAGGTTCCTTCGCTGATGGCCCTTTGGTTTGTGTCCGCCTCACGTGCTGCCGTGAACGTGGGTGTGAAGTACTTGCCGGGGTCCCTTCTCCCAAGTCTTGCGGGCTAATGCCCAGGGGTGCACGTTTACTTCAAGGGAAAGTGATTTCGAACATGTTAAACCTCTGTTTGCAGACACCCTGGCTCTTGCTGTGCCTGGGAGGGGTCCCCCCCGCCCCCTGGTGAAGGATCCGCAGCCATCGGGGGGTCCCAGCCCCAGCCCGCGTCCTCCTGTGACTGGGGGCTCCAGGTCAGGCACAGAGTTGTCTGCCCCACCCGTCAAAAACAGCGTTTCATGTGGCTGTCATGGGGAACTGTTTGTGTTCTTGGGAGCAGGACGTGGGTCCTGGGGCAAAGCATCAGCGTCCGTGGGGTGCACTTCCACACTTGCCCTCGAGGGGCCTCAGCCCAGCCAAGAGCCAGACACGCACCCCAACCTGGAAAATGCGCGGACCTTCCAGGGCCATCCATGAGCACCACCAAGAGCACCGGGATTCACACGGCGGGGGGGGTACCCCCCAGCGCTTCCCCAAATAAGGAAGACGAAGGAGGGACGCGTCCTGGTGGCACCTCGCGGTGCTGGAACCCGGGCCTTACCCGAACGTCTGTGACTGTCGGCCTGCTGGCCTCCGGGCACAGAACCCCCCGGGGACAAATCCCATGTCCTTGGAGGGGTGGCGTCCCGGCCTTGCCTAGTGAGGGCTGGACTCTGGAGCGGGGCGACCATGAGCAGCCCCGTCTCGCGCTCAGAAGGGGCAAAGGTCTTGTGTGCCTTGCACGAGTGTGTGCACCTCCGTTTGTACTCGCACACTCATACCTGAGGATGCCACTGGTCTCTGAGGGCGGGGCCAGGACCAAAGTGCCCCGTACGTGTGCCAGGGAAACCCCACAGCGCTTCCTCAATAGGCAAAGTTCTGGGCATTTTTCACACGTGACCTTGTTTACAGCACGGCAATCATAGCAGGTTAGGAGCTGTGTTCTGTTATTACCCCATTTTACAGGTGAGGAAACTGAGGCACAGAGAGCTGAGTCAGGCCTAAGAACAGATGGCCGGGGCTTGGACAGGCCCTTAGCTGCGGGGCTGTGGGAGCTCTTGCTGGAGCACCTGCTTCCCGCCCCACCCCTGGGGCGGGAGGGTGAGCCTCACCCTGACAGCAATAATAGAGGCCAGCCTCCCCTCCCTGGCCCCGCGGGGAAGGCTGCACTTGTCTCGGTTGTTGGGCTCAATTGACCTTCTGTCACCCAGAGAGGTCGAGGACTTGCCTTAGGCACACAGCGCCCAGACAGGTGGAGGACTTGCCTTAGACACACAGCGCCCAGAGAGGTCGAGGACTTGCTAGACACACGGCTCGGCTCGGAAGAAGCAAAACTGGAATTTGAACCCTGGCCTCTCAGGATGCAAAGCTCACATTCTCGTCATGTCTCCAGACTGGCTCTTTCTTGGTTTGCTTTGAGTTTTTAATTTTTTATTTATTTTTATTTTTAATTTTATTTTTGAGAGAGAGAGAGCGTGAGCGGGGGAGAGGGTCACAGGGAGAGACAGAATTCCAAGCAGGCTCCACACCACACCCTCAGCACAGACCCTGGATCAGGGCTTGAGCCCACGGCCCTGGGATCATGAGCTGAGCTGAAATCAAGAGCTGGACGCTCAACTGCCTGAGACACCCAGGCGCCCCTGCTTGGACTTCTCTTAAAAAGTTGAAGCGAAATTCACATGACATCTTAAGCATTTCGAGGCACACACTTCAGTGGCACTTGGTGCTTTCGGTGTCACCTTTGTCTGGCTCCAAAACGTTTCACCCCCCAGAGGAGACTTCGAACCCACGAAGCATTTCCTGTCCCTCCCGGCCGCTGGCAGGGACAGGTCTGCTTTCTGCTTCTGGGGACTTAACTACTCAGGATATTTCGTATAAATGGAATTCTACAGCGTCTGACCTCCTGCGTCTGGCTTCTTTCCCTTAGCACGATGTTTTCTTTTTTTTTTCCTTTTTTTTTTTAGCATGATGTTTTCGAGGGTGGGCACGGTAGCTGAGATCAGGACCTCAACCCTTTGCTTTGTTGCGCTCACACACCGAATTCAGTTCGCCCGTTTGTAAGCTGATGGACGTTGGGGTTGTTTCCGCATGTTGTGAATTACGAATAGCGCTTCTACGGACATTCGTTCGCTTCAGTCCCTGTTTTCGATCCTGCTGAGTTTATACCTACAAAGAGGACTGCTGGTCGTAGGGTAATTCTAAGTTTGACCTTTGGAATACTGTCTTCCACAGAGGCTGAGCCATTTCCCATTCCCACCAGCAATGTATGAGGGTCTTGTTTCCCCCACATCCTCACCAAACTTGTTCTCTTCTTTCTTTTTTTTTTTTAATTAGTTTTTTTTTTTTTTTTAATTCTTGTCATCTCAGTGGATATGAACTGGTTTCTCATTCTGGTTTTTTGTAAGTTTACTTATTTATTTGGAGAGAGAGAGAGGCAGAGAGACAGAGGGACAGACAGACACAGAGAGAGAATCCCAAGCAGGCTCTGAGCTCTCAGTGCAGAGTCCGACATGGGGCTTGATCTCATGAACCGTGAGATGATGGCCGGAGCCGAAATCAAGAGTTGGACACCCTAACCGACTGAGCCCCCGAGGTGCCCCTCATTGTGGTTTTGATCGGCATTTCCTTAATGACTAGTGAAAGCGAGCATCTTTTCATGTGCACGTTGGCCATTTGTACGTCTTCTTCGGAGATACCTGTTCAAGTCGGCTGCCTATTTTTTTTTAAGTTTTTAATTTTTTTTAATGTTTATTTTTGAGAGACAGAGAAACAGAGTGCGAGCAGGGGAGGAGCAGAGAGAGAGGGAGACACAGAATCGGAAGCAGGCTCCAGACTCCGAGCTGTCAGCACAGAGCCCGACGCGGGGCTCGAACTCACAAACCGCGAGATCATGACCTGAGCCGAAGTCGGACGCTCAACCGACCGAGCCACCCAGTCGCCCCAAAACCCACAAAGTCGTTACCCATTTTGTCCCATTTGCTTTCTTACCGTCTCTTAATTTTTTCCTGAACAACTTGATAGTAAGGTGCGTACACGGTGGCCCGTTACCCCTAAACACTTCAGTAGAAGGGCTTCATAAACGTAACCACAGCACAGTTACCAACTTCAGTTCATTGGATGCTGGTGTATTTCTTCCTGGTCTGCCTTCTGAGTTCCAATCTCATCAGCTGATCCAAGAACGTGCCCTTCTCTCCAGGACAGGACACAGTGTATCCGATCACGAGTGCCCTTCTCTCCAGCGCGGGACACAGTGTATCCAAGAATGGCCCTTCTCTCCAGCGCAGGACACAGTCTTGTGTATGCGGTGATCTTCATCTCCTTTACTCTGAAACAATCCCTCCGCCTTCCTTAGTCTTTTATGACTTTGACACTTTTGAATACTGCAGTTCCTTAAAAACAAAACAAAACAAAACAAAACAAAACAAAGTGTTCCGTACAGTTAGCATACAATCCAGCAATCACCAGCCTTACCCAAAGGAGTTGAAACTTCAGTGCCCGCAAAAACTCGCACACAGATGATTTGGGCAGCTTTATTTAAATTGCCAAACCTTGCGATCAACCAAGATGTCCTTCAGTAGACGAACGGATAAACGAACCGAGGCCCATCCAGACAGTGGAATATTATTCAGCACAGAAAAGGATGAGCTCTCAAGCCCTAAAAAGACATAAAAGCACCTGAAATGCATTTTGCTACGTGGAGAAGCCCATCTGAAAAGCCTCCCTGCTGTGTGATTCTGACTCTACAGCTTTCTAGAAAAGGCACAACTATGGGGACAGTAAACACAGTAGTGGTCGTCAGCAGTGGCAGGGCGGGGGGCAGAGCACAGAGGATTTTTAGGGCAATGTAACTTCTCTGTGTGATACTATGAGAGTGGGTGCCCTTCATACATTTGTGTGAACTCCAGGACATATGACATCGAGTGAACCCTAACGTAAGGTGGGTGGGTAAGGGACTTTGGGTGATGGTGTCACTGTGGGTTCATCAGTTGTGACCGACGTCCCCCTCTGCATGTGTGGGGGCTGGGGATACAGGAAACCTCTGAACCTTCTGCTCGATTTCGCTAAAACTTTCCTAAAACACAGTGTATTAAAAACATAGCGTGCCTCAATTCGGGTGTGACGTTTCCTCATTAGATGTGGTCACCCCTAGGTGACGTTGGCCTGCTCGGGGCCTCACGTGGAGGAGCACGACACACCTGACCTGGTTGGTGGTGTTAATTCGACCCTTGGTTGAGATGTCGCCTGATTCCCGTGCGGTGTGGTTACTCCCCCTGCACCCCGCTACTCATAAACTGTAAAGAGACGCTTTGAGACCCTGCTGATATCTCGCCCCTCATCACAACGTCCCCCTGGGTTTTGTATCTACGACAGATACAGGCTGCCCTCCTGTACGCGCCCCTCCGCCACCTTCGTTTCTCCAGGTGGGGCACCAGCCCGGAGCAGGTGGTGGCCTCGTGCACAGTCCTGCTGGGGCTTCTCGCCTGGCCGGTACCCAGCCTTCCTGATGTGACCCCGTTCACCTCCCGCACTGACAGCCCGTGTCTTGTCTGGGCAGCCAGACCCTCTTTTGGAGAGCCCTCTCATTTCCTGTCCCATCTCACTTCCTCACTGCGGCCACCGAAGCTGCAGGCCGGGTCAAGGGACCATAACGTCCCGTCCCCCAGGGTGGGTCCCTCGCGGGCCTCAGAGTCTGGGGTGGTGAAACCTCGCCAGCGAGGCCGCAGTGGGCCCAGGAGGAACCTGTGCAGTTGGGGCTGCTGTTCTGAGGTCAGGACGCTGGGAAACCACAGGAAGTGAGTCGGTGCAGAGCTGATGCGCCTTCGTCCCGGGACAGGAGCTACAGGCGGGTGAGGCTGGGGGCATGTCCGCGGAGTGCGGGGAGCCCGGGCCGGAGGGGCCTCAGGGGCCGTCCCCGGGGCCAGGCGGTCTCCCCGGGGCCTCGGGCTTGGGACAGTGCCCCCCTCGGACCACATCCACCCCCTGGAGCCTGCCCCTCTGGAGAGCTCACGCGGCCGCCGCGGTGCTGTGCTATGTCAACCTCCTGAACTACATGCACTGGTTCATCATCCCAGGTGAGGGGGGGAGGGCGTCCCGGGCTGCACCTGCTGTCACTCATGGCTCCCGGCCACCTGCTGGCGCTGTGAACGCACGGCACCCACCGCCGAGCAAACTGTCTTCTTGTGGAGACGTCCCAGCCGCTCTCACCCCTGGAGGGGGGGCGGGCGGTTTCAGCCAGGCCCGAACCGGGGAAGGAGGCATCGAGTTCCCAATTCAGCCCCAAACGGGGTGTATGCACACAGCTGTGGGTGCAGGGAGGCAGTGGGTGGGTGAGGGCAGCAGGGCAAAGGCCCGGAGGCTCTGGGGGTGCCCCGTGAGGGTGTGGACGGCAGGCCGGCAGCCTGGCCCAGAATAGCCGGGTTTCTGGGCCAGCGGGCTGTGTGCAAACCTTGCACTTTCTGACTTCCTTCCTGGAGGCCCCGGGGCTACCCTGTTCTGCCTGTTACTGGCACATTCACCGACTCATTCATTCCTTTATTCTTCGAGATTTAACCTTTTCTCTCTGCATCACGGACTCATTCACGACTGGCTGAAGGAACATTAACTACAGGCTTGGAGACCCGGGGAGGGGTCCACCTGGTGGTTCCTGAGCTCCGGAATGGCCACCTCGAGGGGCAGAGGGGGGAGCTCATCACCGGGACTCCTGCAAGGCAGAGGAACTCACAGGCCAGCTTGGGGGGCTTAGGGGGCGGAGCTCGGAGGATCACAGGACACGGCAGCACAGGACAGGGCAGGAGGGACATCAGCGGGGTGTCCCCAGGATGGTGACTGAGGGCTCCGGCGGGACCCAGAGGAGGGGGCACTCGGGTTGGGTCTTGAAGGACGAGCAGATCGGCAAGACAGGGAGCCGGCGGGTTGGGGGGGGGGG